TGTCTCAGAGTTACTGATTGGAACAGATAATTTCTGGAACCCTGACACTCGAGACTTCAAAAGAACCAAGAATCGAGGATGCTTCTTGGATGAGAAATGAAATATCTTATTAAAAATAAAAAGGAAGTACACATCTTTTGAAAAAGCAACTTTGATGTCAACCAATTCAAAAATCCTGGACTGACCCTGAGGGGCAAATGACGTGCAGGCTGGGCTCCATTCCTTCAACCTCAAATCATAAAACCACCCCCAAATTTTGTAGCTTCTGTTTCTGGCGGCCTTCCATCTCTAACAAATTACTCTCAACAGGTTTCTCTCAAAGTGCTTTTTCCCCTTTTCATCTGGTTATTTAGATCTGAGTCAACAAAGCTATAAAGCAGGAAGATGCGATGGGAATCCAGATAAGCCTTTCTGAGGACACAATCAAGAGGGGAAAGAGATGAAACAAAAGTATTAGAGCCTCTGTCAAAGGACGCGGAGCAAAACTTGGTCAGCTCCCAGGGGATATATATAAACGGGCTGTAAGCAAGCTGGAGAACCTCAGGACTGCAAGCAGAGGCAGAGCAAAGGAAAGCAATGGAAATGCTCAAACAGAGAACAAGAGATGCCAAGAAGGAGCTTCCAAAGCAGCCGAGCAAAGGTAGGAGGAAGTCCATCCATCTCTTGTGTCGGAGGCACCTGACGTTTTCGCCGATGTTGCCTGTCCACAACCTTCCTGAAAACACCTGTGTCTCCCTTCTGATCCACAGAAGCTAAATCTCTCTCTTCTTTTTTTAAAGAGGGGGACGAATGTTGCTCTCCGATGCCCTTGGATGCCATGAAAGGTAAGGAGGGGTGATATCCTCCCGTTCTGGAGCGAAGGGCAGGGCAAGAGATGTTGAGTCCAAGGGCAGAGGTGAGAGGTGGGCTCACACTTCATATTAAGCCGCCGTGTTGTGGTGTGTTGGAACAAGCTCAACGAACAAGTTGAGCCATTTGGCATGGGACAACTGATCTGGCATCAGAATCCCTTGACCAATGATTCGGTCCACAGCAGGGGTGAATCCAACACCCTAAGAGCATGGGTGAACACCAGTGGTGCCTCAGAAGAACTGCTTTAATTTTCATGCCCAGGAGCCTAAAATGTGGCTATTCTCCCTAGGACCACGAGAGGAGCTGATGTACGTGCTCTGCGTCTTAACCAAGACGGGAACCCAAATGCCCGATTATCTCGCCACGGTGGATGTGGATCCCAAATCTCCCACTTATTGCCAAGTATGAGGATGCTCAGTTATTTGGGACAATGTTGTGAAGGCTTGTATGGTTTCTGTTCTATCGCCAGAACAAAGTAGACTCGAGACCGGAGTTGAGTTCAGCTCTTTATTTAACTCTCAGTAACTTCAACTAAACTCGAGCCGCAGCAGCCTCTTTTATAGCGGCTGCTCGTGGCTCGCAACCAATGGCATCATTTTAAACCTCCCGCCGTTTAGGCGGCCAATCATAATCCGTTGGTAACCACCAATTGCTAGGCGGTAGTGATTGTCCACTCGGAACGTAGTATTATGAGTATGCAAATGTCTATATACAACACCCCTCCCCTCTTGGTATGGTCCAACCTTACGTGACGTAGTCACGCAAATAGGCGGGGCTTTTGTGGGTCCTACTTGACCTGCGCAGCTCAGTCTCTGTGGTGTCTTCACTTGGTTCGGATGGGATCGATGTTTCTTCTGTTCTTCTCTCTGGAACCTCCTGGAAGGGCGAGCCAGTCATGCCGCTCCTGCCGTGCTTTGTTAGGTTGGTTGGTTGGGCGTTGTCGCTCCCCTCCAGCCTACTCGGACAGGCAGAGTTGGCTCAGCTGCTTCTTCCCTGGTTCTCCTCCAGCTCTCTTCTTTTGAACTCGTCTATTGGTAAGTGGTTTTTATTTGTTCTTGGGCTTTCTGTTGCTGGTTGGCGGCCTGTTTTTAATTGTGTTAAAAGAGGGTCTTCCTTTTCTTTATTATTTAAAAGTTCCCCCCCCCCTCTCTGGTTTTATTATTACTTATTGGCTGTTTCATATGAATTTGCTCTATGTTTCGGGGTGTGTCGGTGTTGCATTCGAGGTATAGGGATCGTAGTTGGTCTATGTGTCTTTTCCAGGTTCTGCCGTCTGTTGTTTCTACTCGGTACGACGGGGGGCCTGTTATTTGTGTTATTGTGGCCGGTAACCACAATGGGTCTCCAGTAAGATTTTTTGCATATACCAGGTCGCCTGGTATAAACGTGCGGTACTTACTGGAGGAGTCTGGTGGCTTCTCAGGGTTGTAGGTGGGGTGTAGTCTGTCCAAATATGTGCACAATTTTCTGCCCATTAAAAGTTCAGTTGGGCTCTTGTTTGTTGATGTGCACGGCTTTATATGTTGAATTGTGAGCATTGTATTTATTTTGTCTTGCATGTCACCCCCTTCAAGTTTTTCTAATGCTTCTTTCATGTATCGAACCATGCATTCCGCCCGTCCGTTCGCCGCCGTATGAGCTGGTGCTGTCAGGGCATGTCGTATGCCTTGTTCTGCGAGGAATTGTTCAAAAGCTAAAGCTGTGAACTGTGGGCCATTGTCCGAGACTAACACGTCTGGTAATCCATGAGTGGCGAAGAGTTTCTTTAGTTGTTTAGTGACGGCTTCAGTTGTTGTTGAACTCATGATGCTGACTTCCAACCAGTTCGAGTAGGCATCGACGATGATTAAAAATGTATATCCCTTTGTGGGTCCGGCGAAGTCTATGTGGATCCTTGACCAGGGGCCTCTGGGTGTCTCCCAGTCAAGGACCGGTGCTAAAGGAGGGGTAGGTCTGGACGACTGACATTTATTACATGTTCTTACCCAGGTTTCAATGTCTTTGTCTATTCCTGGACACCAGACGTAGCTTCTGGCCAGGGACTTCATATTTACCATGCCCGGGTGTCCTTCATGTAACATGTTCAGCACATCTTCTTGTAATTTTCTTGGAACAACAACCCTATCCCCCCACAATATGCATCCCTTTTCAATTGACAGCTCAGTTTGCCAGGTTTTAAATGGTTTAAAAGTCTCGTTTTTGTCATTTTCCGGCCAGCCCCTCCCCACCCAGTTCAGGAGTCGGGCCATTAGTGCATCTTTTGCGGTTTCCCTTGCAATGTCCAATGCGGTGATGGGCAGGTTTGACATTGTTTCAATTTGCAGGGTGCGTGTGGTGGGAGCTGGGTCGTCGTCATGGTCTGGTAGGGGTGAGCGTCTCAATGCGTCGGCGTGGGGTATGGCTTTTCCTGGTCGATAGACGAGCTTGTAATTGTAGGCTACAAGAAATTCCGACCATCTTGTCATCCTTGGAGACAGGATGTTGGGGGTGGCCCTGTCTCCTGCCAGGATTCCTAGCAGTGGCTTGTGGTCGGTAATTAAGGAAAATGTCCTACCATAAAGGTATTCGTGAAAACATTTTACCCCCGAGATAGTGGCTAAGGCTTCTCTGTCCAATTGGCTGTAGTTTCTTTCTGCTTTTGACAGCGTTTTGGAATAAAAGGCGATCGGTGCCTCTCTGCCACCAGGTAGTGTGTGGCTAAATATTGCGCCTACGCCGAATGCTGAAGCGTCGCAGGTGACAGTCAGTGGTAGCGTGTCGCTGTATTGGATTAATACGGATTTGGATGTTATTAAGTCCTTAATTCTTTGGAATGCCGCTTCTTCTTGTCAGCCCCATTTCCAAATGGCTTTTTTATCGAGTAGTCTATGCAGTGGTTCCGATATTGTTGCCTTCTGCGGCAAAAAGACATTATAAAAATTACTGAGTCCCAAGAATGCTTGCAAGTCTGTTTTGTTTTTGGGTCTGGGTGCTTCTTTTATTGCTCGTATTTTTTTCCGGTGGGGTGGATTCCTGCTTCATCAATAAGATATTCTAGGAACTCGACCTGATTTGTGGCAAGTTGGCATTTTTCTTTTTTGACCTTGAGTCCTGCTTCTCTAAACTTTTGCAAGACTGCTCTTAGCCGGTCCTTTAGTTGTTTTTTATTTCCAGCGGATATCAATACATCATCAAAATAGGGAACCACCCCTTTTAGTCCTTGGAGGAGGCATTCCATCAGGCTTTGGAAAACGCCGGGGGCCACGCTGACACCAAATTGCAATCTGTTGCATTTAAAAGCCCCCCTATGTGTTACAATAGTTTGTGCCTCTGCCGTCTCGGAATCACCCAGCAATTGTTGATATGCCTGCGTGAGATCGAGCTTTGCAAAAACGTTTCCTCCCCCCCAATGAGTGCAAGAGGTGCTGGACTACTGGAACAGGGTATGCGCTCTGCTGTAATGCGTGGTTCAGGGTGGCCTTATAGTCACCGCAGATGCGCACGGAACCATCTGGTTTCACGGGAGTCACAATCGGGGTTTCCCATCTTGCATGGTCGATTGGCTCTAGCACCCCTTGTGCGATGAGTTTGTTCAGCTGCTCATCGATTTTTGGCTTTAACGCAAAGGGGACGCGTCTGGCCTTTAGCCGGATGGGGGCTATGTTCGGGTTCAGGCTAAATGAGATAGGGGTCCCACGGTACTTGCCTAGCGTCCCGTCGAATACGTCCTGGAACTCCTTCATCAGGCTTTCTTCCCAGTCTGTCTCGGTGACGCTGTTGATTCCTGTCACTTTGATCCCCAAAGGCGCGAACCATTCTAAACCAAGCAGGCTGGGGCAGTCTCGGTCAACGATGGTCAACGGAAGAATTTCAGTGTGTTTCTTGAATTTTACCTTGAAATGTCCCAATCCAACTACTGGAATCTTGTTTCCTTGGTAGTCTTTTAACGTCAGGCTTTGCTCTTCGAGTTCTTTTCGTCGTATGTCTGGTATCAAGCTTTTTATTGTGTTCCATGATACCATTGACAGATATGAGCCGGAGTCCACTTCCATTTTGCATGGCTCTCCCTCTATTTTGATGTTTATTCGAACCTTCTTAGCATCAGTTGCTCTGGCATTCCCAATGATAATTGTCTGGTGTGTTTCTTCCTTCTCGTCGAGCCGCTGACTTCTATTTTCCTGGTTCCAACGACTTCCGGTTTGCTTCTCCTTAGTTCTGGGGGGGTGCTGCCTCGTCTTTTTGGACTATAGCTCTTTTTGTTTCGGCAGAACCTTGCAATGTGTCCCCGTTTTTCACAGTGTCTGCAGATGGCGTCCAAAAAGCGGCACTCAGAACGTGGGTGATTTCCTCCGCATCCGGCACATTGAAATTCAGGTTTCCTTCCCCTTTTTTCTTGCCGGTTCCATTCTGACTGGACCCTATGTACCTCTTCATCTTCTTCCTCAGAGTCGGTTGATGACTCGATGTCTTCATGGTGGGTGGTTGCGGTAGTGTGTTTCTGGGTACCTTCCACTTTCTTTTCTCTGCTCTGGCTTGGGCTGTTGGCCGTATTCATTTGCTTCATTTTCGCCGCAGATTTTTTTGCTGCTTCAGCTGCGGTTGCCTCAGCGATGGCTTCAATTAGGGTGATGTTGGGTCGATTTAGTAGTTTGCTCTGCAGGGTAGTGTCTCTCAATCCGAGGACCACTACCACAATCTATCGCCAGAACAAAGTAGACTCGAGACCGGAGTTGAGTTCAGGTCTTTATTTAACTCTCAGTAACTTCAACTAAACTTGAGCCGCGGCAGCCTCTTTTATAGCGGCTGCTCGCGGCTCACAACCAATGGCATCATTTAAAACCTCCCGCCGTTTAGGCGGCCAATCATAATCCGTTGTTAACCACCAATCGCTAGGCAGTAGTGATTGTCCAATCGGAACGTAGTATTACGAGTATGCAGATGTCTATGTACAACAGTTTCCCTTTCCTTGGGCCTGTCTTTAAGATCTTGCGTTCCCATTGGTGTCATAAGTTGAGGAAAATTTATATCAACATCTTCAGACACATTCTCAGTTTCCAAAACACTTGGAAACCTGGGAACAATTTACTTTAATCGAATTAAGGGAATCCTTTGTTCTAAGCCCAGAAAAGCTCAGCCGTTTCCAGCGTGTTTCAAGTCGTTCTGTTCCTTGGTATCTCCTGGTATCCTCAGGCATATCTGCTATTTGCACATTTTTGTGTCAGCAGTCATGGTCAGTTACACCTACGCACAGACACCTTAACCAGGTGCAGCTGAGGCTGGAACTATGAGAGCTGTAGGAATCCTAAAGGATCATTAGCTGGTACCGCAGACTCCTATGCTATAATGCACTGGGCGTGCTCACAATCCATGAAGAAAGCAGGTGATGCTCAGATGCCGGCTCTTGCCTTCACACATGCGAGCACTTCTGCTCAAGGGTTGGAATGGTAGAGCACTTTTGCGCAGAGAGGGCATGAAGGACTGGAAGGGAAGAAAAAGGCTGTGAGTTTTAGGGACGCCCGTCCTGTCACTGTCCTGCTTGCCAGTCGGGAGAGAAACCTCTATTCTGTCAGTAACAATCCACAACCGATGCAATCTTCCACCGAGCAGAAGTAGACCTTTCATCCCCTTCTTTTAATGACAACCCCGCATAGTCCCTTGTGGGGAGGAGTCTGGGCAACTGAATGGAGTTGAGTGTTTACTGGCCGGATGCCCTTCCTGTCACCAATGCGGAGCTTTCTTCAGCAGATATAGTCTCATTGTGCTCAAGGAGAGAAATGTCAAGCAGAAGTAGACCTTTCTTTTTCTTTTTTTTGATTTTTTTTTTAAAAACAAACAAACATAAACAAACAAAACGTAAAACATAAAAACATAAAACATCTTTTTTGAAAGCAGCTTGATCCTGGGTTACATCTCTTCGTACAGACACAGATTCAAATTCATGTTCATTTTATATACCATTTCATATCTTATTACCATTCTACATTTTCTATATAACTTCTCCCTTCTTTTAACTTTCTTAATTTTATTTTATTTATTTCATCTCAATTCAGATCATTATAGTTATATTCTTTGTCTGTCTTGTTTCCAGCTGTCTATTATCTTTTCTCATTAGACAAAATTTCTCCTGTAATCACTGATTGGAGTATGACACCTTTATATCTTTCCCCTAAATTTATAACACTTAATATAATACATAACTTCCATTCGGATTCTGCTTAGTACATTCTAAAGTTACACACTATATTTTAAAAAGAGAAAAAATATGTAAATATATAATATAATTAAAACAACAAATCCATGCCAATTCAAATCTATTGTTAATATTAGTATTCATTTAAATCTTAAACATTTTACACATTACTTTTCAAATAAGTATCATACTTCTATGGGAACACTTATAAACTTTCCACAGTTGCTTCCCCCCACTTCACTCATATTTTAAAACATTATACCATTAAAATGTTCCCATTCCTTCCTAGTTCAATTCTCTCATTTATTTCATTTCATTTATTTTGTTCACAAAAGTTTCACTGAGTTACACTGAGTATTTTATCCCACTTTTTAATCATATGTTGTTTCCAATTTTCTAACATTGTTTCTAAGACAAATATAACAATACAATCTTATGTACCTTTGCAGAATCACTTTTTCAGTTAAATTTTTACCCATTATCTCTAAATAAATCCTGTTTCTTTACATCTTGCTCCACACCTTTGTAGCTTCTCTTCCCTTCCTTCCTCCCTTGCTTCTTCTCTCTGTCCTTTTTACCCCCTTGTCTCTCCACCTCCATTTCCCTCTTCTGTGTTCCCTTTCTCTGTTGCTTTCTGACATTATATCCACTTTTCACCTTATTTTTCCCTTTTTTGGTTATTTTTTGGGGTCTTAAAGTCTCCATTCTCTTTCCCCCCTTTCCCCCTTCTTCCCTAGGTAAAGTTATTTGTTCGTCAAAGATGGCTTCTTCTTTGTCCCAATCTTCTTGTTGCGTAGTCTTTTCTTGCAGTTTCTCATAGGTACAAATCGCCATTTCTAAGAATTGAAAAACAGAGCCAATAGAGCCCTTCCCTTCTTGTTCTTCTTCTTTATATTTTTTAAATTCCATTTTCAGTTTGTCCACAAGTGATGCCATTGTAAAAAAAATTTCAAACAACCACCCAAGTGTTTTTAGTCATTCAAATATAGTTTCCAAAAATCCCAAAGTCACCAAGCAATCCAAATACACACAAGCTGTTTCTTTTAACACTTTCTTCTTTTTTCACTTTCTCTTCCTGGGGTTGCTATTTAGTTACAAAGTTCCAGTTAAGATGTATCTTTTAGAAGTCTTGTTAGAATTTAATCAGATTCTTTTAAATTCCAGGCAGTCTCCTCTTTCCAAATCCTACTCTTATTCTTTTCCTCTCCCTTCCCACTTACAGCAAAAAAAAAAAAAAATAATAATGTTCAGAAATCCTTATTGTCCCCTTGACATTTAATTATCCAGTTTAATTACCTCTTGATGCCAAAGCGGGTTTTTCCGATTTCTCATTCATCTCTGTTCACTGTCAACATAAGGAAGGAGAGTGAAAGAAAAAAAACCTTTCCCTTTTCACTTTCGTTCGCTGCTTCCGAATCTTCTTTGGGAGCTATGTACCTTTTTAAAATTTAAATTCCAGGATACCTTGTTCGTTGCTTCTTATCCCGGTCAGCCAAAACTTTCACTTCTTAACTTCCTCCTGCACTTTCTTTTCCGGATGAGTGCTTCTTTGAGGCGGCCATTTCTGACCGCCGCTCGTTCGCCTTCGGGAAAGGGAGTTTAGCCAGCTGGGGAGGAAAGATGTGGCTTCCCGCAACCCTGCTGGGATCTCCCCCCTCTTTGTCACCTCTACGGGGTGGCTTAGCCCCAAGCCAGACTGGATCGGGACGCTCCAGCGGCGAGCCCAGGCAGAAACCACGCATGATCGCGGATTCCTGCCTGCCGCCGAAGCCCTGCAAACCGGAAGACATCTAACCCAAGCTGACAACATTAAAAAAGGCACATTTAATCTCTGCCTCTCCGATCTTTCCCCACTAGGTTATTCACCGGCTGCAAATGCCCTACATTAATGATGAGCTTCACTTCATGAGCTGGAACACTTGCAGCAACCCCTTGGGAGACACCACCAAGAAACGCAACCGGTTGGTCATTCCGTGTTTCAACTCTTCACGGATTTATGTGGTGGACACCGGGACTGACCCGCAGGCTCCCTGCCTGTTTAAGGTAGGCCGGTTGCAAGCCAGGGAAATGGCTCGCAAAGGACTCTGGGAGGGAATGCCAGGGACTTTAAACCTCTGATTATAACTCCTCTTGATCCCTTGACCTTCCCTTTGTTTTGCCCCTGACCTTTTTATAAGTGATCCAAGCCAAAATCCATTTCCACAGGCACTGAACAAAAAAAAAAAAATACATACACCCAATTTTTGTGATTCTCAAGGCTTCCTGCAAAATCGCTGAGTAGAATTTATTATGCATAGAATGAAGAGAATAAAATCAAAGGGAGGAGCTCTTGTTGATTTTAAACAGAAAAGGAAAATAAGTTAACAACCAAGACCCCACTTTTGCAAGATGAATAACTACAGCATAAAAACCAGGTTACCATTCCCACATCTGCAATTTATTGCAGTATAGAAAGAAATCCTGACAAACGACCCAATAACACAAGAGATGTCACAATAATTTTCAAATGTTTTATTTCACCCTGTCACATTCCTATCAACAACCCCCATGTTTCACTGACCGCTGGTGGGCTCTGGAGTTTTTAGATCAAAGCAATTTGAAGAATTACAAAGAAAAAAAACCCAGAACTACAGTGCAAGTTTTTATTTCCTCTTCCTCTCCCCAACCTTGGCAGGTGATTGAACCCAGAGAGGTCTTCTGTAAAACCAAACTGGCTACAATACTCGCCCCACACTGTCTGGGCAGCGGAGAAGTCATGATAAGCTCCCTAGGGGATCTATTGGGCAATGGAAAAGGTACCACTGGGCAGACGTTTTCCCAAAAGGGGGTCCAGATTGAGGTACTGTGATGTGGCTTGGAAGATGTTGGGAGAGAAACTTTCTCCATAAACTCCCAAAACTTTAATGTTGAGCCCTGGACTCTCTTCCAGGCTGTTGGACAATTCTGAGGGGGGCAAACTACTTTCAGCCAACTCTTCCTGGGAATCACCTACATCTGTTTGAATTCATTTGAACCCTGAACTACAGGTGCGTTTGTTCTTGTGGATACGGAAACATGGGAAGTGAAGGGTACCTGGAACCGCCCTGGGGATGAGGCTCCACTCGGATTTGACTTCTGGTTCAAACCAAGGCATAACGTTTTATTCAGTACTGAAGCGGCGATCCCCAAATTTCTTGTAGACGGGTTCAAACCTGAATTTCTGGGGAAAGGTGAGATGACGGAACATTGTCCAAGCTTAAGGTCCAGCGGTCGGGGTATTGGACTCTTTCCTAAAGTGGGACCCAAGACTTCTTGTGGAAGGATGGCACTGAGGGGTGTGTGTGGGTTGGTGGCTATTTAGTCCAACCCTCTTGTCTAACTAGAGCTAGCCCTTCCCTAAGAGGTGGCAATTCAACTCCTGCTTGGAGGTCTCCAACATGAGACGGAACCTTTCTGAATACCCTTGTCTAGCAGGAGGCATTCCTACTCACCAGAAGAAGTCGAGATGATTCTTCTCCTTTCCTCCCTTCCTCCCTTCCTCCCTTCCTCCTCCTCCTCCTCCTCTGCAGACTACTATGGCCGCCGCCTGAATGTGTGGGACTGGACCACCCACTGCCTCGTTGAGTCCATTGACATGGGGGAGGACACTGTCCCCATGGCAGTCCGCTTCCTGCATAACCCAGATTCCTCACACGGCTTTGTCAGCTGTTCCTTTGATGGCTCCATACATCATATTTACAAGGAGGAGGTGAAAACAAATTGCATTCCTTTCTCTTTTGCCCACCCTCCCACCCCTGCCCTTTCCATCAGAAAGAATTGGCACCTGAGGTTTCAGCTTAGAATAAAAGAAACAGGTAAAATGCGGTATTAAAAAGAGTGCATAATAGTCCTCCACTTATCACCATGGTCATTAAGTGAGTTATATGGTTACTAAGCAAAGCCAGACTTCCCCACTGAATTTAAAAGCTCTGCGTGTTCCAACCAACCCTGTGTCTCTTGCAGGACGGGACATGGAGCACAGAGAAGGTAATTCAGATTCCAGACAAGACGGTCACTGGGTGGTACTTACCCGAAATGCCAGGTAGGTAAATATAGTACAGGGGGGGCTTTTGTTCATATTTGCCTCTCAACCCTCTACCTTCGTATGCATGAATGTATATGCTGCCCATTTTTCTGTCATGAGGCTCTGGAGGCTTACGACATGATAAAGCAACAGTGTAAAATATTAAATATAACCTTAAAATTAACAGAGAATTAGCTATGTTGGAGGGGAATATGAAAAGGAGTTTGCACCCTCCACCTTCAAATTAAGGGTTTTTAGCATCTTTTGAGTACAGACCTAGTGTCTTCATGGCTGAAAGAGAGATCTGCAGCTTTTGGGGAGATAAAAGTTCTTGAAAATGTTGCATGCCGGCACTTTCTCTTCTCCAGCGTACACCACTTACTTAATTATTTCATTGGATGACCGTTTCCTGTACCTGAGCAACTGGTTTCATGGCGACATTCGACAGTATGACATCACCGATCCCCACTGCCCTCGGCTATTGGGCCAGGTGAGCTCCTTAGCACTTAAAGGCCAAGAAGCTACGAGGAAGCCTTGGGGCCCTTGCAGAAGTCTCTCTTTTCCACCATTGGAACCGGGATGTTGGGTTAAGCGGAAAGCTTAATTCGCAGCCCTCAGTTGCTGGCCAAGAACCCCCGCAGTCTGGGCGGAGGAAGAGCTTAGGGAAGGGAAAACTGTCCTTTGGCCTGAACTGACCCTTCCTTTGAGTCTTGCAGGTGTTTGTAGGAGGCAGCATCTACAAAGGTGGGGTGGTGACTGTGATGAAGGATGAAGAGCTCGACTGCCAGCCAGATCTCCTCGTGATCCAGGTGAGCCTCCTCCGTTTTCTGAGCACCAGCTCTCCCTGGAAAACCAGTCAGGTTACACAACTAGACGAACCGATTCTACTTTATTGTAAGGCTACATTAAGAGAATTGTACATTTTACATTTACATTTACATTTTATTTTATTTGATTTGTCAATCGCTTACAAGATACAGGTATAAGAATAAATATAGTTCTGTATACATGAGATAGATACTTATAAGAAAAATAAAAAACAATAGGACAGAGACGGTAGGCACGATTGGTGCGCTTATGCACACCCCCTACAGGCCTCTTAGGAAGGGGGTGAGGTCAATAGTAGAATAGAATAGAATAGAATAGAATAGAATAGAATAGAATAGAATAGAATAGGGAAGGAGTTGAAACAGTTTTGTCCGGGATGTGAGGGGTCTGTAAATATTTTCACCGCCTCTTTTGGACTCTTAGAGTATGCAGGTCCTCAATTGAAGGCAGGTGGGTAGTAATTGTTTTTTCTGCAGTCCTAATTATAGACAGTCTAAGGTTAAAGTTTTTGGGGTTTGCGGAAGAAACCACAGAGTCAGGTAGAGTATTCCAGACATTGACCACTCTGTGGCTGAATCTTGCAAATTTGAGAATATAACATTCCTGCTGCCACTTTGAACGGCTTGATCCATTTGGTCCTTCCTAAGATTCTTTCTCTGACTGTTAAGCCACCAGCGGCTCCTTCCTTTCATCCGATTGTTTCCTAGGCAGCCTCTCTTCTGCTGCTTCCCCAAGGTCATGCTTTACACTGAAACAAGATCCTGGTTGGAGGCAAAGAATCATTTTTCAACAGAGAGCATGGCTTGTTTTCTGTGGGACTCCTGGAAAGCCCACCAAGGAATCTCCTGCAGCAGATTAGACTACGGAGCTATATATAAGCCTCCTTGGACCTCCTATATTTCTTGACCACTCTCTGTGTTTTTTTCCACCTTAGGGAAGGAAAGTATATGGGGGACCCCAAATGCTCCAGCTCAGCTTGGATGGAAAAAGGCTTTATGTTACCAATAGTCTCTACACACAGTGGGATGAGCAATTTTATCCCCAACAACAAAGGTAGGCAGTCTCTCAACAGACGAAGAACATTCAGACCAAACTCCCAAGGAGGTGGGTCTTCCCCTCCTTCTCCTTCTTGTATTGCACGCCAAATCAATGTTGTCCCTACTTTCTACTACTTTGTTATGGTCTATTTATACTGGAATGGCACAGAGTTTGCCCGTCCCTCGAGTGCCCTAATGGGGTTTTTCCAGCATTATGGAGGCCCCAATAAGCAAGCAAACGACCCTCCTTCCTAACCTCAAATTCTTCCTTTGCAGGGATGGGTCAGTCATGCTCCAGATCGACGTGGACACAAAGAAGGGGGGTCTCTGTGTGAATCCAGATTTTCTGGTGGATTTCGGGAAGGAGCCGTGGGGTCCTGCCCATGCACATGAAATGAGCTACCCGGGAGACTGTACTTCGGACATCTGGGTCTGAGTCCTTCCTCTGAGCCTCCCCGCTTGCTAAGTTAGCATTTAGGGGGCAGGGAACTGAAGCAGAGAGCAACTCAAAACCAGAGGGTTGGTTGGTAGTTTAATCCCGCCGCACAGATTTCCATGTTTGAGGAGGATGTGAACAGAGAAATTGTCGTTGCAATAAAGTTTTCTCAATAATACAGACTCTTTTTTTTATAATTTTTTTTTAAGACAAACATATACAGACAAAAACATAAAAACATAAAACCATCTTTCAACTTTGTACATACAGTGTGTTAGTTGGTTACAAATCTTTTGTGCCATCCTTTCATAGTCCTTACTCACAAGTTGTAA